TGTGGCCAGTACAGCTCACACAAGCAAACAGCTGATAAACTGGCCGCACGGAGGAAATGTGTATGTGTGACTGTCTGCCTGTGACTGTGTGTGGCTGTCTGCCTGTGACTGTGTGTGGCTGTCTGCCTGTAACTGAGTGTGTGACTGTCTGCCTGTAAATGTGTGTGGGGCTGCAGGGATTTTGTAGAAGGGGGCGGGGGTTTTGTATTGGGACAGGAGTCTTTATAAGGGGGGATAAGCAGGAGATTTGTGGAAGAGGGTTGCGGGGGTTTTGTAGACGGGGCAGTACAGGATTTGTAGAAGGGGCAGGACAGAGGTTTTGTAGGAGGGGCGGGGCAGGACAAGGGTTTTGTAGGAGGGGCTGACAGCGGTTTTGCAAAGTTTACAAATTGTAAAAATAAAAGAAAGAAAACCTTTAACATTTTTTACTGGGTTTTTTGGGTTTTTTTTTTGGGGGGGGTGCCAAGCACAGGATCCGCCCCGGGTGCCAAATGCTCTAGGTATGCCCCTGTGTATGTCTATATGTCTGTGAGTGTGTTTGTGTGTGTCTGTACGTGTGTATCTGAGAGTGTGTGTGTATATGTCTGTATGTGAGTGTGTGTGTATGTTTGAGTGTGTGTGTCTGTATGTCTGAGTGTGTGTGTGTCTATATGCCTGAGTGTGTGTGTCTGTATGTCTGTGAGTGTGTCTAACTGTGAGTGTGTCTTCCCTCCAATCACATAGGAAAGGTGTTTTTACTCACCTTTTCCCCCCACACCGTGCTGATGACGCTGCGGCTGAGATTATCAAACTTGACGATCTCAGCCAATCCAATGCTTCCCCATAGGAAAGCATTGGAAGACTATTGCGCATGCATGGCAAAATGCCACTGCACCAATTTAACTTCTCATAGAGGTGCATTGAATCAATGCATCTCTATAGGGAACTGACCCAGGAAGCACCTCTGGAGGTCGTCTGAGTGCCTGTCGCTAGAAGTGTTACCCGGCAGCAATGTAAACACTGCCTTTTGTCTGAAAAGTCAGTGTTTAGATTCAAAAGCGGTCAGGGACTGGATATAGACTTCAGAACAACTGCATTGAGCTGTAGTAGTTCTGGTGACTATAGTGTTCCTTTAAGAATTGTATTTTTGGCATTGATTTCTCTGGCTCCTAACTTTTCTAGCTGGCTCCTAGATTCCAAGCAAATTTGTCAAGCCCTGATGTAATTAATGCATTTGCACACAAATAAGAAGTTTTCCTAATTCATGCATTTGCTTGGCTTTATCAAGTTTAACTCTCTCTCTCTCTCTCTCTCTCTGTGTCATTGTATTTAATGATGTATATTTTTATGTTATTGAAACCCCAAATTGATTTGTACGATAGGGGTAGCCTTCTTCATGGAAGGATATAGGGCATATGGCGCTTTAAGAGTTAAACAGATGTGAGCGTATAAAGCAACACTCTTAGTGGCCATCGCACCTTGAGAAAGCCCGGTGTTACGGGTGAAACGCGTTGAAGCGTGAGCAGCATTTGCTTTGTGAGAAAAGGAAAGAGGAGTTATTTGGAAGTTCCGGTCCCCATTTCCAGCTTTCTCCCGGCACTAATAATTGGTTTATCAGCACTGAGATCGAGCGGGACTTTGCACATGCAGGACATACACCCATGTTTGATTGTGGTATCTTGGCAACGAGTACCACCATATGCTGATGTAAGGGTTCCCTTTGGGGGAGAGGGTGTCTTGTTCTTGTGTTTGTTTTAAATAAATACATTGTTGCGCTATGAGGTCCTTTCTTGAATCTTTTTACGGTACAGAAATCACTGTATTATACCTACAGCTGTGAGGCAAGATTAACACCCTAGCTATGAGGCAAGATTAACTCTAAGAAACTGTTACCCAAAGACTTTTGGACTCTTCAGCATTTTAACGGTTATTTGCAATAACACACTGTGACTTAAATGCGGTTGATTATTTAAGAGTGTTTTTCACCAATCCAAATAGTGCATATGTAGGTGTCTTTTTTTTAATGATATTTATGTAGGTCACCTATTTTAAGGTTTTCTAAGTATAGCGCTTACACTTATTTTTAAGTACTGTTGAATGTGAAGTTTTAAGAAATTCTTTATGTGTATAGCTGCTTGGTTTTTTATATATACATTAATTTATAATTTAATTATTTGCTTTTATATTAATAGAGTTGCGCTCTCCCGTTTTATATACATTTGATATACTACTATGTAACTAGAAAAGCTGTGTAGTGGTGGGTAGCACTTAATTCTTTCTAATGTGTAATATTTACATGAGGTCAACAAACATATAGCTATTTTGATAAGCCAAATTTTCACACAAATATATGCTTACGATAAGATTACGATTTACAGCAACGTGCTGAGTTTATTTGCAAGATGTCAGACAAATGCAGCAAAGAACAGTTGGTTAGTTGCTTTTTTTTCTAAGTGGCTTTAAAAAGTCATAGTGGCAATGCGCTAGTAGATGATGTTAACTTGACCTCACGCCTAGGTGAAAGTTTGTCACGGCTGGCAGCATAGTCCCGGACATTGGTGAGCCCAGGAACAACACAACAGCTCAAGGCACTCCTGTAGACATACATATTTTGGGCATCAAACCATTCATTACTCTTCTCGTCATAGCATTCCACATTAAATGTAGTGGTGAAGCCATTGAATCCTCCAACTACGAATAACAGATCGTCAACTACCTCAATTCCAAAGTTGCTTCGTGGGTTGAACATTTTTCGAACATTGCGCCAACTGTTTGAGACAGGACTATAACATTCAGCAGTGTACAGTCTATTTGATCCATCAAACCCACCTACCTGTAACAGATTACAAGTTGTGTCTGTTAAATATTACCAACTATCAAGCATCACTCTATAGAAAAGCAATAGAACAATCATAGAAACATAGAATGTGATGGCAGATAAGAACCATTCGGCCCATCTAGTGTGCCCAGTTTTCTAAATACTTTCATTAGTCCCTGGCCTTATCTTATAGTTAGGATAGCCCTATGCCTATCCCACGCATGCTTAAACTCCTTTACTGTGTTAATCCACTACCCTCTCAGTAAAGTAATACTTCCTGATATTATTTTTTAAATTTTTGCCCCTCTAATTTAAGACTATGTCCTCTTGTGGTAGTTTTCTTCTTTTAAATATGGTCTCCTCCTTTACTGTGTTGCTTCCCTTTATGTATTTAAATATTTCTATCACATCCCCCTGTCTCATCTTTCCTCCAAACTGTTAAGTTCCTTTAACCTTTTCTTGTAAGTTTTATCCTGCAATCCATGAACCAGTTTGGTAGCCCTTCTCCGAACTCTCTCTAAAGTATCAATATCCTTCTGGCAAAACGGTCTCCAGTACTGCATACAATACTCCAAGTGAGGTCTCACCAGTGTTCTGTACAATGGCATGAGCACTTCCCTCTTTCTACTGCTAATACATCTCCCTATACAACCAAGCATTCTGCTAGCATTTCCTGCTGCTCTATTACATTGTCTGCCTACTTTTATGTCATCAGAAATAATTACCCCTAAATCCCTTTCCTCAGATGTTGAGGTTAGGACTCTATCAAATATTCTGTACTTTGCATTATCTTGCACTTATCCACATTAAATGTCAGTTGCCACAACACTGACCTTTTTCCTAGTTTACCTAAATCATTTGCAATTTGGCTTATCCCTCCTGTTACATATATTAGTATCATTAGCAAAAAGACATACCTTACCATCAAGACCTTCTGCAATATCACTAATACAAATATTAAAGAGAATGGGTCCAAGTACAGATCCCTGAGGTACCCGACTGGTGACAAGCCCATGCTTCGATTATACTCCATTGACTACAACCCTCTGTTGCCTGTCACTCAGCCACTGTCTTACCCATTCAAGAATATTGGAATCCAAGCATAAAAATTGCAGTTTATTGATAAGCCTTCTATGTGTAACAGTGTCAAAAGCCTTACTGAAATCTAGGTAAGCAATGTCTACTGCACCACCCTGATCTATTATTTTAGTTACCCAATCAAAAAAATCAATACGATTAGTTTGGCATGATCTCCCTGAAGTAAACCCATGTTGTCCTATCCTATCCTTTAACATGGTTTCTATTACTTTCCCCACTACTGAAGTAAGGCTTACTAGCCTATAGTTGACCAACTCCTCCCTACTACCTTTCTTGTGAATGGGCACAACATTTGCTAACTTCCAATCTTCAAGGACTACTCTTGTTAAAAATGATTGGTTAAATAAATCTGTTAATGGTTTTGCTAGTACACCACTAAGCTCTTTTAATAACTTTGTGTGTATTCCATCAGGTCCCATTGACTTGTCTTTACTTTTGACAGTTGAAATAGCACCTCTTCCTTTGTAAACTCACATGTAACAAATTACTAATTTATCCTTTTTCCTAACTGAAGCCACTTTTCCTTCATTTTCATCTATAAATACTGAACACAAATATTCATTGAGGCAGTCAACTAGACCTTTATCCTTGTCTACATATCTTCCTTCTTTTGTTTTTAATCTAACTAATCCTTGTTTTCCTTTCCTATTCTCATTTATGTATCTAAAAAATGTTTTGTCCCCTCTTTTTACTAACTGTGCTATTTTCTCTTCCAAAATGACACTATAGTTAACAAAACATTTTTAGCTGCATGAAACAGTTTTGATGTATAGACCATGCCCTTTGCAGTCTCACTACTCAATTCAGTGCCATTTAGGACTTAAATCACTTTGTATATGCAGCCCTAGTCATACCTTCCTGCATAATTCCACAACTTATCCAAGTCAGCCTGAAGTTTCTTTCTGCCATGCCAATATAATTCACACCTTTTATTGTCTATTGTTCAGAATTAGGCCATATGTGAACATAGTGGAAAAAATATAAGCATAGTATTTTGTTAATTTAAATGAAACAGCTATATTGTTAATGCCATTTATTCTAACTAAAACTATCATAAAAAAATAAAAAAATACATACTGCATATACTAGGTCTCCATAAGCAATGACACCAACCCCACTGCGCCTGCTACTCATGGGGGAGATTAAGCTCCATTGGTTGGTCTCAGGATTGTAGACCTCAGCTGTGAAAAGGCATTCATTGCCATTAAAGCCACCACATATGTAGACCTGTGTAAAACCAAAAAACATTCCTATGAAACTTCACAGAGAAGGTAAACCAACCACTCAATCTATTGAATGTGTCATGCAGACCCAGTTACAATCTCCAATCCTCAGCCTTATCTGTCAATAATATGGATAATCCATTTAAAACATATATAGTTTAAATCAGTGGTTCTTAACCGAGTCCTCAAGTACCCCCTTACTGTCCAGGTTTTAGGGATTACCCAGTTGTGGTATTTTTAGAGCGAAAAAAAACACTTTAGACACAACAGGGTAATCCCTAAATCCTGGATTGGTAGGGGGGACTTGAGAACTGGGTTGGGAACCCCTGGTTTAAAGCATCACTGTTGACACCATAACTTCAATTGATTGGATATGGTACTGGGTCCCACATTATTACTAAACAGTTTACCAGATTAGTAGAGATTCTTGGTACCTAGCAGTCTGAATGACAAAGTCCACCAATGACAAAGGGCTGGTGTGCTGTGATTGGGAGAGACTCTCAACTGAGCATGGTATGGACTGGTATCGCATGAGGCGTAAGCAAAGCTTCATATCATTATTGGAGGCTATACTTCAGGCTGCTAAGGACAGAGAGCCTGTACTAAATGGTGAGTAAACCATTTAGTAGAAATGCACACATATTCCCACCGATTCCAGGGACCTATAACCACTTAGGTGATTATGGTGCCTACAAAGTTCCTTTAATGTAAGCGATTTGGTTATGAGCTTTATATTTATGAAAGCATAATATTAAGGTCTTTTGGTGGTGATATCTGGCAAATCTGTATATGTCTGATGCCCCTAAGAATCTCTAATTCTAGTTGAATTGTTTATTCTTTTGATTTTTTTTTCTGTCCCTACCCTCCATTTTTGTCACTGCTGCTTCTTAAATTCCTTCCTTCACCTGTCAATCAATTTTTGGCAGACATGTTTGTGAATAAACCCTATAATGTTGATCACTTACTTTTATTAAGAGCTAAGAAAACTAGAAACTGTTATCACGTACATTGGGTGTATATAGGAACATTTTACAGGGATCATTGATTTATTGGTTGATCCTAGATTAAATAAAATGGGATAATCATTTCTCCTTATGGTGATTATTCTCAAAACAATACCCTGATAGCTTTTTCAAGTACTCTAATTCTATAGAGTAGTTATGTGTAAAGTAAATTTTACTCCACAAGTTTACATCAATATTTCCACCAACCATAAACTCTTGTCACCAAATATATAACATTTCTTACCTTTCCAGAGAGGGTGGTGGCACTGGCATCACTTCTTTGCTCATGCATAGGTGCAATCAGAGTCCACTGATTGGTTTCTGGTTGGTAACGTTCTGCAGTGTTGAGTCGTACATAGCCATCAAAACCTCCCATTGCATATATAAAGTTATCCAGAACGCCGACGCTGACATAACATCTCCTTGAGTGCATTGGGGCCACTTGGTGCCATGTTTTACTTACAGGGTCAAATCGTTTTACGCTGTTGAAATAGTCCACACTATCAAATCCTCCAATGATGTAGATGAATCCCTTTAAGTATGCTGAGCCATGATAAGCCCTCGGGTTTTCCTCCTCACAAGTAACATTT